AAGTCAGAATTATATTCGCCTGATTTCTTTTCGTGTAAAGGTCAGGCAGCTTCCAATTTAGTTTAGAGTCAGTGTGATCAACAATCCTGTGAGTATTTGTGTGAGAATACAGAGTCGGGTGTTGCTGGCTCATGCAGGTGTGAATATTGAGGAAAGCACATGTAAACAGGTGGAAACAGGAGATTTTTTAATATTTTGGCAGTGAGGAAAACGAGTGGCTGGATGAAGCAGGTCCCTGCATGCTTGTTATGCCCGTATCCACGTGCTTTCATGAGGACAGATCAAATTACACCTGAAATTAAAGTGAACCTGCAGTTACTAGTCAGTCCACAGAAATCAATTTGGACTTCCTTTTTTTTTTATTTTTTTAAATGTTTCCAGCTTCTCAAATGTCAGGCTTCCACTTTTCTCTTTCAGATGTGCGATAGAAAACTGTACCCTGACTTTTTCACTTTTTTATGACATTTGATAACCAAAGCAAATCCTCGATTAGACAAGAAGCCAATAGGCAGATTAATCCATAATGAGAATACTGTTAATTAAAGGCCTAAATTAAATGTCAACACGTAAAGGTCAAACCCTTTACTTTTACACTTAAACTGGCAAAACTCACATTTCTGCCTGCTCACGTGCACATATTGCACATTTAAAGTGTGTAATATCAGAAAGAAACGCCTACATCTGAACGCGTGTCGTGTCAGAGCAGTGCAGTGTGGGCTGCCACGTTTTCTGTGGCTTTGGCTCTGTGCTCCAGCACACTGGAGGTTGAAGTGCTGACTTTCAGCTTCGAGTGCAGTGCAGAAGGATAATGACAGGGCTACAGTTCTGTGCTGTTCAACACCCAAGCTGGAAGTAAACATCCTCCAATAAAAGCTGAAAGTCAGCACATCAGTCACACAGAAGACTGTCACTGTAAAAATATGCACAAGCTGCGATGTTTTTACACGTAATCAAACACTGTGCACGGCCGCTGTGCGCTCTGATGTATGCAGTGTTTCACCAAAATATCATACACAGGTTTAAATTCGCTCCTTTGTTTTTGGGGATTACATCACCGTTAAAGCAGGCTCGGTCTGCCTATTTTTATTTTCTGCTGCATACAGTCATGTGAAAGTGAAGTAACTGTTTACTCCCTCCATAGGATTGTAAAGGCAAGTAGCAGCCAGGTGCTGCTAATCAGATGTGCTTGGTTAATCATCAGCACCTCCTATAAAAGCAGATGTTTCACCAGTTTGCTGATCTGAAGCACTCTGACGCGTGTTAATACATAGCTGCACTCTTGGCAGGAGTGGACGTCCCAGCAAATGAACCCAAGGTCAGACACAAGGTCAGAGAAGCTGCAGAAAACCCCAGCGCTCCATCCCAGACTCTACAAGCCTCAGTTGGCATGTTGAATTTTCAGGTTCATTGCAGCACAGTAGGAATAAGTGGAGCAAGTATGGCTTGTTTAGAAGGACTCCCAGGAGAAAGCCTCTTTTCTTTAAACATGGCAGCACGGCTCAGGTTTGCAGACACGACTCGTGCAAACGTCCAATCACAGTTTTCGGAGGAGTGATAATTTGGGCTTGTTTTGCATCCCCTGGACCTGAGCACCTTCCAGTCACTGAGTCAAACATGAACTCCTCAGCGTACCAAAGTATACGCTACAGGTCAGTCGGGTAGAACTTGGCCGAAATAGTGATGCAACAGGACAACGATCCCAAACTCACCAGCAAATCTATAACAGAATGACTGGAAAACATAAGAATTACAGTGACCCAGTCAAATTTCAGACTCAACCTCATTAAAATGCTGTGGCAGGACCTCAGGAGAGCTGTGGATAAACAAATACCTGCAGACCTTTAATTAATTGAAGCAATGGTCGTGTCCAAATTCATGGGCTGC